TAAAATACCAAAAGTGGCCGGGCGTGGTGGCACACACCTGTAATCCCAGCACTCGGGAGGCTGAGGCAGGAGGATCACTGTGAGATCGAGACCAGCCTGAGCTACATAGTGAGTTCCAGGTCAGTCTCAACTACATAGTGAGACCGTGTCTCAAAAAACCAAAACCAAAACAAAACAAAAGTATTTTTGTGGAACCTGACAAATGGCTCCTAAATTTTATACTAAAGTTAAAAAGACCAGGAACTGTAAAAGCACTCTTATAAAAGAGAAATGACATTAAAGACAGTTCAGCCAGATTTCAAATGCTGTCATTACATCATGTACGAAAATGAATTTCTGGTGTAGTTGTGGAAAGCCTAAGAAACCTTGTGAAGAAAATATTTGAGAAAATCTTTATGACCTCAAAGTAGGGACATTTTCAATCAAGAAATATCATACACTAAGCACAAAAGATAAGATTCATAAGTTTCAACTACCCTAAAATAAAATGAAATATTTTTATATATCACAGTTAGTATCAGGCCAGGGGTAGAGCGCTTTGCCTAGCATGCCCAAGGCCATATTTAATCACCAACCCACAAGATAAAAAAATCATTATAAAAGTATTCCAAAAGGAGAAGCCAAGAACTGCAAAATTATACATGCAACACAAGTACTAGAGAATATATATCCAATGTATTAAAAACTCATAGAAATACATTAAAAGAAAATTTGATAGAAAAGCACTTCACAAAAGAAATTTAAATATACAATAAGCATATAAATTACCAATCAAGGAAGGAAATATAAATTAAAATTTAAATGATTTTTTTTTTTTTGAGACAGGGTCTTATTAATGTGGTTCAAGCTAGCCTTGAACTCACTATGCTGCCAAGGCTGGACTCAAACTTGCAGTGATTCTTGTGTCTCAGCCTCCCAAGTGCCAGGATTACAGGCGTGCACCACCATGCCTGGCTTTTTAATGGCATACCTATATACTGCCGGATGAGATGAAAATGAAAAGTTGGACAAAGTGTGGAAAGATTATAGAATTGGGAGAGTTTCTATCATGCTTATGCAATATATAAATATATATGCATATAAACATATCTACAAATATATTTATATATTTAAATGTTAAATATATTTATAGATATATGTGAATACATATATTAATATATATACAAAGTGCACACATAATATACCTCTATACATTTAGTGGCATTATTTGCAATACCACCATAATAGAAATATAATTGATAGAATTCATGTAGTGCACATTTTTACACAATGAAATTCTATATAGCATGCCACAGCTACCCATAACACATATTGAGAGGAAAAATGCAAAACACAATAATATATATGATTCATTTATATAAACATTTAAAACTCTTAAGGTTCCAAAATTGGCAAGACTAAGTATGATTTAGAAATATATACACAGGCATTTATTGGAATTTATTTGGGGTCTTTATATTTGATTGGCTTTGGTAAATGTTCAAAGGTCACTGAAAATAGTGCAGTTCTATTTTGGCTGTAGGATGTCACATGCATATAAAAATACAATGAGCACATATACATAATACACACCTATATGCACACATATAACATATATATAACAGCAATGGCATTATCTACCAAGATGAATTTATGTTAAAAAAAATTCCCACCACAATCACAGATTGGTCAGCTCTCTCTTATAATTTCTTTCTGCTTCATATTTTCCCAGCTATGTGGTTATCTGCAAAAATGTTCATGACTGTAATATTTTCCAGTGAATATGTGTGATATAATAAGATATACCTTTTGTCCCTACTAATGTTATTCAATATAAAAAATATTTTTATAACATTGCTACATAAAATTTTTGTTTATAATTTGCCTGGCATGTCATTTTTTACCTTTTCATTTTCCATGCTTTAGTTTTTTAACTGTTTTAATATGTTTATTTCTAATTATGTTAGTAATAATAGTCTGGCCCACTAATGAGATGGTCCTGTGGTTAGGTTAGACAGACATCTTTAAGTTATAACTGTGTCAGTATTCTAGTGAATGACATGTCCTACACAGGCTGTTAGAAGCCACTTCTCTTTATTTCTCTATTTTTCTTACTTGCAACAACATATTAAAGCACTAGTTCTTTATATTAGAAAATATATTTTGAGATTAAAATTTCAAAGCATATTCATTATTTATATTACTTTATTTTAAAATGTGATTTCTGACTTGAGAGCATTGGAGGTTTCTTTCCCTATTTTGTATTAAAAGCCTCAAATATTTTTAAATAAAATGTTTACCTTTTGTGGGTTAGTAACATAAATAAGGGAGTTTACTAAAATTGAGGTAAGTGATTCCACTTGGTAGAAATGGAAAGAGACTGGAGTAGAGTTGTAACTAGACTGAGTAACTTAATTAGAATTTTGATGATATATAGAAAGTCTAATCATCACGATTTTTTTTTTTTTTTGGTACTGGGAATCAAACTTGGGTCCTTGTGCTTGCAAAGCAGGCAGTGGCATCACTGAACTAAAACCCCAACCCTCACATGATTTATTTAGTGATTTTCTCCCAAATAGAAATGATTTTTTGGGGGTCTTGTCATATCTTCATTTGAAATCAGGATTTCAGAATGTAAGTAATGTTTTCTCTTTAAAATATAATAAAGGTAATGACTTTATACATCAGAACATTTTTCCTGATAAAAACTCATTCATTCATCCATCCATCCACCCACCCATTCATTTATTCTCTCATATGTAAAATTTTTACTGGGCAACTGTTGGTGTCAGGCATTGTTTCAGATACTTGTCCTACACTACTGAGCAAACAAAGATCCTTGCCAAGGTAAAACTTATATTCTGCATGGAAGGGGTAGAGAAACAAAACTAATGTAGCATTATCAAATGATATAAGATCATGGGAAATGATTTATGTATGCCATGTAAAGAAAAAAGAGCAATGGAAGAAAGAAACATGAGTATAGGATTTTAGGGTACAAAAGGTCAGAACAGCTGCAATTTTAAATAAGGCTGTAAGGGTTGGCTGGTCCCATTTGAACAATGACAAATAAGAGAAGGAAGAGAGTTCTTGGTAAAGAAGATAGCTAATTCAAGGCCTCTAGGATAGACACAGTCATATACCTCCAAACAACACCAGGAAAGAATGTAGCCTTGAAAGGTACAAGCAAGTAATGAGTTAAAGAGGCAAGGGGAAGGCTAAACACACAAAACCTTGGAGGCCATTTGAGTACTGTACTTTGGTTCTTACTGTAAAGGTAATGGGAGCCAATGCCTCATTATCTGACTAAATGTCCTTTTCTTACAATCTCACCCTACAATATTAATTTTTTAAATTGTTACCCATCAAATGGTGTAATTCATTGTTAATTTCATTTTCCTCCTTCATATTTATTGTCTACTGTTGTTTTGGAGTTGCTTTTTCTGAATAGAGTATGCCTTATTTTATTGGGTTGTTTGTATTTTTATATTATGCATTTTACTATTAATAGCAATAATAACCTTTTCCATATTATACACATTACAAAACATATCTGCTAATCTAGCATTTAGCTTTCAGCTTTGCTTTTGACATCCTCTGATATAAAATTAATTTTATTTCTAAAAATTTTTAGCCCTCAGATCTCACAAGATTGTGAGACTACCCTTCACTGAGAGGGATTTACAATCTCAATCCAGGAAACAGAAAAAAAAAGAAAGAAAGAAAGAAAGAAAGAAGTGACAAAAGACTGAAAGGAAAGAGAAGTAGAAGATAAGAAAGGTAGAAAAACGTCTGGATAAAATTTTTAAATAGGTGTTTTAAAGTCCTTATTTTAAGACTCAGATATCTGTCTTGATTAAACATCTTTCCAAACCCTAGGTACCAAAGTTTCTCAAAATTTTCTTTTTATGATTTTTTTCCCTTTTGGGGTATTTTATGTGTAAACTCTGATGACAGAATATATTACTTCCTTCCACAAGAATAGCTGGTTTTACAATCACAATTATTACATATAACATCCTTTTCACATTGAAATAAAATACTACCCTTCTCATATTAAAAGAAAGGAGCATTTTCAAGGTTAAAATATTTCACACCATGTTCAAAGGATGGCAAGAATGATCTAAAAAAAATGGTGGTTTCGTAGATTTTGAGGAATAGGAAATATGGCAGGATGCCAGTCACTAACAAGGCTGGAGGAGTTAGGACGCACAGCACCGGGGAAGGGTTTGGAATGACCTCGTCTCTAGGAAAACATACAAAGCTGAGGATGTAGCCAGAGCCAAAGGCCACTTCACAGATACACTGAGAAGGGTGTGGAGGAATCATTAAGAGCTTCTCTTATCCCAAGGAAGTCAAACTATCTTCTACTCTCAAAAAGAGGAGAAAGGAAAAAGAGGTGGAAGAGATACATACAGTTGAAGAAAGAGGGGAATGTAGATACTATTATTGCAGAGGGGGAAGATAAACAATTAGTGAACATGAGCAAATTGGCAAGCATAATTAAGGGTCCAACTAGATCTTTGCAATGATAGGTTTAAAATAACAATTTATGAAAGTTTATATGATCTTTGCCAGCTAGGTTAGCTGATAGGATGAATTACGTTTTCAGTAAATTTTTCAACATTTGATTCCTTTTTAAAAAATATTTTCAAACTGCTTAATCAAAGGTTTTGTAATTGCATTTTCTTATTAGTACTTTCAGATCATTTAAGTTACAACTTTAGATTTTTTTAATTAATATTTTCACACGTTTTAGTTAAGAGTTAAATTTTGTGAAATGATTGATCACATGTTGGTGTTCATTAAATTATTGGGAGCTTATTTGATTACAGTTGGCAGTCAAAAGATTTGGTAGTTAAATGGATTGGGGTGACTCAACTTGGGGTTGATAAAGACATTTAGAATATACAACTGGATTTTTTTTTTATAACCGTGTCGTCTTGCCATTGTTACTCTATTCTTTTTTCACAGTGCATAATTCATTCAGTCATTCACTTATTCATTCAACAAATACTTACTCAGCACCTATTTTGTGCCAGACACTGTTCTATATGCAGAGGATACACCAGTGAACAAGAGACAAGGTTCCTGCTTTCCTGGAACTTATGTTCTAATACAGGAAGATAGACAATAATAATAAAAATAACATTAATAATGATAACTAACATTTATTCACCAAATACTGATGCTGAGACAATTCTAAGCACTTTACAAGTATTAATTTACTTAATCCTTAGAGTAACATTATGAAGTGGGACTAGAATTATCCTCATTGTAATATGAGCAAATTGTGGGCACAGAAAAGGAAAATAACTTGCCTACAGTTTACACAGCTAGGAAAGGTCTAAACTGGAATCTAGAACCAACACAGGCTAGGTCTCTTTCTAATGGTCTTGCTTTGTAACCTCTCAGACCAAAAAGAAGGAAATGAAACAAACATAAAACACCTAGGTAGTGTTTATAACTATGAAAATTTAAAACGGGGTGATGTGATGGTGTCCCTGGGGGTGCAAATAGAGATGTTAGGGAAAACCTTAAGTACCTGCAGTATCTGAGCTGAGACTTGAAGGATGACAGTAGAGTTATCTTGGGGCAGAGACAACAAAGAAAACCTAGCATAAACTCCTTTAAACATAAGAAATACCAACTTGACTACATCTAGAGGTTAGTATGTAAGACTAACTGATTAGAAGCCAAGTCTAGGATAAAGCAGGACCCAGACTCCGTGGGACCTCAGGTCACATTAAAAATGTGACTTTTTTTCTCAGCGCAGCAGAGTATGAAAAAGGAATATAACCTCATCAAATTGATAATTTTGAAAGATGACTTCCACAGCTACACGCAAAACTGTAGGACAAAAGAAGTAGGGAGAAGCATGAGAGCAATTGTAAGTGGAAGAGGATTACAGTTCAGATGAAGGTGATGCCATAGAATGGCATTTAGGGTAACTTTTGAAAAAACTGTCAAGACTTGCAAATGAACAGGATCAGAAAAGTGAAGAGAAAGAAATTTTGGTAGATGTCTCGGGATTTGGTTTGAGTTACTAGTATGATGGTAGAATCCTTTAAAATGTTTAAAATAGGGAGGGGTAGGAATACCTTCCCTAAGAGAAATCTACATTTGCATCTTGAACTTTGAGAAGTGACTTTTTTTACTTTTCTTTCTTAATTTAAATTTTTCAAAGAAATAACTTGAGAAAAATACTTATATGTTAAATTTTATGAGAACCTGATATATGAAACTAAGTTGGAAAAGCTGGATTTTTATTTAACAATTACTTATTAAGCATCTAACTCAGGCCCACCTGTGTGATAAGATACCAAAACAAACTAAGCCCTGCCCGCAGCGAGCTTTAGGATGAGAGGAGAGAGCACTGGTGACCCCCGCCCCGCGCCCTCACTTTTCGATGCCTCATTAAAACTTCACCTAACGCTTGAGTAGCCATTTTAATTCCATCTCGCGCTCCTGGCAGTTGGGCCCACCGTACTAAACGTTCAAGGTCGTCAACGCTAATAATGACATGTCCCCTCCCAGTTAACACTAAACGCTTTTTTAATAAAAATAAAAATTTTACAAACAATACGACAACCTTTGCTTTGAAGTCTAATATTTTTGCAGGAATGGTACCTTTATAAAGATCGTGGTTGCCCCCGTAACATATTTGTTCTTTCTTCATATCCAATTAAATGAAAACACTAGTTTTTCCGTAGCCCAACTCCCTAGGCTTGTTGGGTCTACCTCAGGAGAAAGGATGGAAGCAGGAGCCGATGAATTTAAACAGTTTGGAGTAATCCTAGCCGGGGACGTGGTGTCGGCTACCCGGGGCTTCCCATCCACGCAGAACCGGAATGGAGGAGTCTGGGAGGGGGTCGGGAAAGGAAAAGACGGAAGAGACATTAAGTAATTGGTTCTCCAAGGTATAAAATGATATTTAGGGTCTACTCTAAGGCACAGATTTCAAACACCCGCCCCCTGGGCTGCTTCGGCCCCGCCCCTTACTGTCGTCACGCCGACTTCCACCAAGGCCTCTGCGGATTGGTCGTGGCCTCCACCTCTGAAAACGAGAAGGCGCCTGGGTTTTGCTTCCGGGTCTTGGGTCGTAGCCGTGGACGCAAAGGATTTTGGGAACCAGGCGTCGCAAGGATGTTTGTATGATCTTCCGAAGCTGCTGTTAGTATTTGAGCCAAGGTGTGCGGCCGGAGGATCGCGATATAGCCTCCTTATACAGGTGAGGTTGGAAAGGGCACCTGGGGTCGGGGGAGGGTGGTGAAGGCGCCAGAGCCGTGGGTATGTGGGGTGCACCCGCAGCTTTCAGGCCAGCCGCCGAGGACGCTGCGCGAAGGCAGCTTTGCTTCTGGCCCATAGGTGGGCCCGGGTCGCTCCCACCGCCGTATTGGCCACCGGTGGATGGGCAGCGAGTTCATGGTGACGGCCAAGGGCGGGCTCCCGGGTGATAATGCGGGAGGCGGCTTTGCCCTATCAAGATACCTTATTTCCCCCACCGAATACACTCCATTACCCCTTCTGATTATTAAGAGACGTATATTAAAGGAAGGAAAGGAAAAAAATCTATTTCTGTCACCCATTCCATTCACATGATTTTTTTCAACACTAACAGAATTTTAGTAGCCACATGTTTGAGGCAAAGGTATTTCAGTTGCTCAAACCTGAAAGTAACAAAGAATGAATTCCTAATTTTTGGTTATTAAGATCCTGTGGGGGTAAGGTTCCTGATTTCTGCGCCTACAGAAATATATGTGTATATAAATAAAAATTTACATAAGTTAAGCATAACCCACGTATGGTCTGATTTATGTTATGATAGCTATTAAAGGAGAAAATTGGATCAAAAATATTGCTGAACTATACTGCCCGGGTAACTGTCAATTGAATTTTAGCACTTATCTCCAATACACTGAAAAACTAAGTTGGTGATTTTTAAATTGTTTAGTTTTTGTTAACTTATTTCTTTTGTTGAGGCTTACATGTTTTGCAAATCCTAGTTTGGTAGAATAAAGTTGAATATTTTTAAGACTTAGTCATGGCAGTTGTTTATTTTACATGAACTTTGACATGTCATGTCTCCTAATTTTCAGTCATGTGAGAACTAGCCCTTTCTACTGGTGACAGAAACAAAATAGGAGACTTGTACAAAGCCACACAACCAAAAGAAGAGCAGAAACACCGACTCAGATCTTTATGACAATATTTTGTTCTAAATAAGAGCTACCTCAGAAACCATATTCCATGCATACCCTTGAGCCTCATACTTTGAAAACTTTCAGGGAATGTAATTGGGAGTTTTTCACAAAGATAGATATTGAGTAATTTATCAAATGAGAGTGTATTGGAAATAACTTTTTTTTTTTCAAGGCATAAAAAATGACAACAGCCGCCAGGCCAACTTTTGAACCTGCAAGAGGTGGAAGAGGAAAAGGAGAAGGTGATTTGAGCCAACTCTCAAAACAATATTCAAGTAGGGACCTTCCCTCTCATACAAAGATAAAATACAGGTAATGATGACTTTCATTGTTTTCCTATACACAAAACAAGACAAACTCTATTAAAGGGCATTGCTAGACATGGTGGCACACGCCTATAATCCCAGCACTTGGGAGGCTGAGGCAGGATGATTGCTATGAGATCAAGACCAGCCTGGGCTACCTAGTGAGTTCCAGGTCAGTCTCAACTACATAGTGAGACCCTGTCTCAAAAAAACAAAAAATAAAAATAAAGTGCATGCTCATAGTATATGATCATGTTTGTTATATCACCTAGTTTTATAGGAATAGAATGCAAATGAAGGGTCGACAATAAAATTATGCTCTATGATTTTAAAGTGCTATCATGCATTCCTCTTAACCAGGAATTTGCATATGTAGATAGAATAGTAATTATTACCTTAGATATGAACACTATCAGCACTAGTCCATATGAGATAAAAGTATTTTTGTAACAAGCCTGTGAGTTGTTATCAATGTGCAGCCATATTATAGGAAAATTAAGGGATTCAGTTTGGACTTCTTGAAATATTAGAAACATGGTAAATGTGTTATCTTCTCCTCATTCTTGTTTTATGCTCAAGGAACAAAGTTTCATTCATGAATTATTTTCCGTTGCTGTAGCCATGTAATTTTTTCCTTCGGTGGGATAAGTAACATTTTTGCCCTGGTTTGTTTCTAATTTAGACAAACTACTCAGGATGCCCCTGAAGAGGTTCGTAATCGAGACTTTAGGAGAGAATTGGAAGAGAGAGAGCGAGCTGCTGCAAGAGAGAAAAATAGGGATCGTCCAACCCGAGGTACAACACTGTCTCAAATATTTGTCTCATAAAATCATTTTGATGGTTTTTCTCTCTTATATAGCAAAGGGGAAGTGTTAATGTTTTTGTGAATTCTAACAGTGCCATAATGATTTTAATGTGGACTCTTTGTACCCACAGATCTCTTAAACATTGTAAGAAGTGCAGTAGTTGTTTCAGTGAGCTAAAAGATGTTTGTTTTCCTTCAGAACACACAAACTCCTCTTCAGTGTCAAAGAAGCCTCGGTTAGACCAGATTCCTGCTGCCAACCTTGATGCAGATGATCCTCTAACAGATGTAGGTTGTGTTTTCTTCTTTTGTCTCTGTCTAGTAATTTATCATGTTCTTCTAAAGTATGTGTTTTTAATACTCATGGCTTTTAGAAGTGATATGTATTTGTTTTCACATAGTGTTATTCAAATGTGTCTCTAACTTCAACCATAAACTTATTTTATGTTAAGGACTTAAAGAACAAGTCTGATCTCTAGAGAACCAAATATGGAAGCAATCTATTAAAGGACATACTTTCCGCCACAGTTCTTACATTAAGTTCTAGAGTTTGTGCTAGCATGTTTTCCTTCAGAGGATGCACTTACGGTTGGGTTCTGGATTCTATAAACTGCACCCCCTAGCTTTATACTCATGGGCCTTTCCTCATTAAATTTGAAGTTTCGTTCAGCAGCTCAGTGCACATAATGATTCCCAGGATTCATAATCAACCCATTAAAATTCAGTGGGGGCCTTATAAACTGTAATTTAAGATTTTCAGTGTAACAGTGGGAAAAAAATCTTAAGTGACCTGTCATGGGTAGTATCTAATTATGCACGTATGTCAGCAATTAATTGTAGACCTAACTGATGGAGTTAACTACCATTCATTAAAACAGAAATGCCAGTTTTAGGTGAAATTTAATGAGTATTCATTTGAAATTACTTAGTACCTTTATTGTGTGTCTAATAATCCCTAATTGCTAGCTTACAGCTGCTTTTAGCAACATGAAATTATTTTTAGTCTCTTCGGATGATGCACGCTACATATGTACTGTGTTGCATCATGAGGTATTTGCTTTCTGATTTTAGAATATTTTCTTGTGAAGTTCTGTTTGGCCATGTAAATTTGAAAGGTACTTTTTATGAGGAATGGACATAGTAGTAAAAATTCACAGGCTTTTTTCTGGGGCTTTATTTTTCAGTTGATTGTTGATTTTAATCATGATGTTTAAGTATATTTTCCCCCAGGGAGATTTATTTCTGCCCTAAAGATTTGGTATGTTCAATTTTTATGAGGAAAAGTGAATATGTATTTTCTCTCCAGTATCATGAATTATAATTATGTCTTTTTAGGAGGAAGATGAAGATTTTGAGGAAGAGAGTGATGATGATGATACTGCAGCTCTTCTTGCAGAACTGGAAAAAATTAAAAAAGAAAGAGCTGAAGAGCAGGCCAGGAAGGTAAAATCAGTATTAAGTATTTATATCTCCCCCTCTTCTCACTTTTTTTGTGTACCAGGGATCGAACTCAGGTCCTTGTGCTTGTGAGACAGGTGGTAGAACCACTGAGCTAAATCCCTAGCCCTCTTCTCACATATTTTTAAACTCAAGTAATATCTTCATGTATTGGGAATTTTCCTAATCATGTCTGAATATGACAGTGCCCTATAGATCTATAAATCTGATTATTTTTATGACATCCTAAGTCTTCTGGTTATATTGGGTATTCCTTTCAAATAGTTCAGACACCCTAATAGTCATCAGCGTGATTGTTTTCACTTGTTAGTTCAATACACTTTCAGTCAGTGTTTACTAAGTGTCAGAAGAATCAAGACAATATATAGTCATGATCTACAAAGTTTCTTGTCTCTCGCCTAGGCACTTGTTGAGGTAATATCTGTCTGGATCTTATATAATCTAGGGCAAGTTACCTGACTACTTTGGGTACCCACAATCTCCTCATTTACATGGAAGAAAATAATGTCTAATTCAATATCTTTTGGGAAATAGGCAAATAGATTAAGATATAAATTTGGGAGATAAGCACAAGTCTGAGCATTTAAGGTTTATAAACCAGTGCTGGGATTTTGTTCTGAAGGTTATGAGGAGCCAGTTGATTTCAGCTGGAGATTGTTAAGATTGCATATGACTTGCATGATAAGAATTGGAAGTGAGAAATAAACAAGTGCTAATAGAACAATCAAGGAGATTGAATAGACCACGTATGGTGATGGTTTGGTTGCTGCAACAAAAAAATAGCTAACTGATTGCATATACAAACAAAGTGGAAGGGATGTATTTAAGCAGAAAGAGATGATGAGTTCTGTTTTGAACATGTTTTACTTGATACATGGTAAGGCGTTTAAGTAGAGATATCTGCCCCCATTTTCACCCAGAGTAGCACAATTTTTTTATGGACGTCAGTGTTAGATTTCATTTGAAATAAGAATTGTTCCATTTTTAAAAGGAAAGATGGAAAGCCTTTGGAGAAACATAGTGATATGGATTAATGCTAAGAATCTAAAGAAACAAGAGTTCACAGAAGTGTCAAGGAATTCAGAAAAGTAGAATATGAGGTAGAGTTTGAAGATTTAGAATTCAGATTGGAAGAAGAAAAATGCCCCTAAAGAATTAAGTAACAGTATCTTTTGCTTGCCACTAGAGGGCAGTCATTCCCCTTTTTAGTGTGCCTGTTCTCTATACATACTGAGCTAAGAAATTTATGAAAATGATTTGGGTTGACCTTGAGGGAGGATAAACATTTTAGACAGAGGCCTG